GGCGCGCCGTCAGCCTCTTTACAACCTCACAATGACCGCAAGCCGCCGATCGATGGAGAATAGGCTAGCGCCGGCCGAAACCAATTCGCCACCGACACGCCCCGACTGGATTCACTGATGATGGTTTAAGAGGAGGCACAAAGGTGTACTGGGACAGTAGTGTATGGAAAAGCCATCGGGAAGGGACAGTTTTCTACTTCATTCAAATTCTCTATTAGTTATCGATTGAACGACAAGCAAAATCACTATTAACATCACTACTTTGTGAGCTTTGTGGGGAAAGAGGTTTTAAACGAGGCAGCATTCACGGCAATTTACTTTTCGTTTCGCCCGGACGCTAAAAGGGATAAATGCTTACAACTGGGAACGTGTATTCCGCTCGAAGCTCTGCGGGGCGTTGATGGCATACTCAGCAACAGGTATGAGTGCTATGAGTTCTATGAAACCTTCTAGCTCTGGCAAAATTTATGACCAAGTTGTGGATCCTGTGAATATAGTTCGATAGAGCTATTACGTACTGGGAAATGAACAGCGACACTCGTGCACTAATTCAGTGGGACAGCGCCTCTAACCCGAGTCGTTTACCTCTTTTTCAAGTTTCTAGCACGGTGCAAGGCCCATGCCTTGCAGCCTGAGCTGGAGTTGTCAGGCTAGCAGAAATTTGTGAAGCTAGCAATCCATGAGGCAGCGTTCAGCCTTCGCGGCGCGCTGCAATTGCAACAGCGCTCCATAGTTGTAGACGCGAACGCACCCACAGAAGACCAGCAGCGGTCGATTTCTGTCTGCGAACACTCGATCGATCGGTGCAGGCAGCCTGCTTATGAAGAGAGGAATAAGACGATAGCTTTCGCCTAGTCACGCAGACTGGATCGGCACCGGTCGTCTGCCAGCTGTGTTCGCGTCCATAGCTTTGGAGCACTGTTGCAACTGTAGCGCGTAGACGCGCGTTACAATGTAATAGAGCGCGTTGTCGCGCGTGGCGGGTCACCGCAAAATCTGATCGTTGTCGACGTCATTCGTCTTGTGGCGGGGCAGTACCCTCGACCCTTCATTTGGAGCCACAAAGATAGGGCAGTTTGGGACACTGCGAGCAGAACTACCCTCATGGTGTAATTGCGGAATTGCCTTAAACCTAACATCCGTATACAGGAAACCTTTGTGGAACTATTGCAGAACCTGAAAATTTCGTGGGTCGAAGAATCGTTCTCACTTTCATAACATTTACATTTCATCAAATAGGGTGAGTAGGTTTTCCGCAGATCATTTCTGTACAGGAAAGTACAGGAAAGTTGTTTTTCAAGGTCTTCCACTAAAAAGTGGTCTTCTTGTGAATGCTTGGATCTGTCATTTGGATATGTCTTGTTATTATGCTGTGAAATTATCTTGTTCATTAATTTTTTATCATTTTGAATGTTTTTCCTTTTATTGCCAGTGAGTGTATTTTATTGATAAATGTTTGTTGTTGGTATTAATCAAGCATCATAGAAGGTACAGACAATTAAGAGCAGCACCGTTTTGGGGGGAAAGTCGATGGAATGGCACCTCCGCGATAGCTTCGTTCACTTGTTCTTGTCTGAACGGGTGTGCAGCCGTGATCGCTGCAATAGATAGGGCGTGTGAAGGGACGTGGGATGGAGCGCAGTATCATTTTAGGTTGAGGAAAGCACTTTTCAGCAAGGAAGACACATATTCTACAGGAAACTGATAAGACAAATGAGAAAATGAGCTGTAGAAATGGTGAAATGATGAGTTAATATTCGTAGTATGCCGATCCACAACATGTTGAGTAAGTGTCCTTTCCGCAGTCTATGGCCGCGAGTGCTATCATAGCACCACGTCCACATAATTACACCAGCTCTTGCTCCATATACCGTAGGAACTTCTAACAATAAACTGTGGGGCGTACAAGAGATGCAGGCTCACGATAACATGACAACATTTATTCATAACAAATAACAAAGTAAGAAAATAACATTTTGGGGAAAAGTGGGAAAGGATGGGATTCATCCCAGATCACTCACACTGACGCCTCTTCTTTTTTTCGGGCTCTGGAGACGATGGTGCAGATCTAGCCTTTCGGGTCTCATCTGAAACGAGGTAGCAAGTTCTTTCAGGCATACGCAAACAGATGTGAGTATTAGTGTTCACTAATTGTCTATTTGTGTCGATTCACAAATAAGCAATACAAGTGCTGCAAAAGAAAAAAACATGCTCGGTGCCCTAACAAGGGTTGAGGACGAGTAGGTTAGTCTGTTAGAAGAAAATCCGCCTAAATACCAGAAAACGCGAAAGGAGCAGAAGTTTAAAGCTAGTACAGTTTATATAGGACACAGCTGCAACGCGCTCGTGGCTGCGAAGGTCCAGACGGAGCAGAGGCGGAGATGTATGTGCTACATGTGCTACAGCGCACACCACTGATTGGGGATTTCAGTGGAGTCTGTACGACCCCCCCCCCTTTCTACTTTGGGGGTTGGTACGACCCCCTCCCCTCCGGCCCTCTGTCGAGACGTCCAGCGGGGAGGGGGTAAAGGTAAGTAGCACATGCGAAACAGGAAAAGCCGCGAGACAATACGACCCCCCCCCTCTACCAATTTTCAGATTTTCCCCAACTTCCTGCCACTTTTTTCCAAAATTTCCCGAAAAGTTCCCTACTTTTCCCCAAAAATTTTGCTGTCGAGCGGGGGGGGGGATGTATATATAGTACGCATGAAACAGGAAAATCACAAAAAGTCAACCACCGCTCCTACAACGCCAAAACGTAAATACGACCCCCCCCCTCCCAACAATGACCAAGTACGACCCCCCCTTTACAACGTCCGTGAAGCGAGAAAAATCAACTATCAAAATAAATTTTTCCCAGCCCAAATACGACCCCCCTCTCCTGGCGGCCAAATACGACCCCCCCCCTATTGGGGATTCCCCAACAACGATGTGCCCTGATGTGCAAAGTCGCGCTCATATTTAGCGGTAGCTTCCACCAACGTCTCGAGCGTTCGCCAGCCTCAGCGACTGGGAAAGTGTAGATATCTATCCAGCGTCTACCAGCCGCCGCCAGCGACTATTGAAGTATGGAGATTGAGCTGCCGAACGCCAGCGTCCACCAGCCATTCAGGAGCGAGAGTACGCAAGGTAGGAGGCAGCAGACCTTGGATTAGGCGTCGTCAAATTGTGGCGTGTGCGCGGTTGCAGATGCTGCAATTTCACGACGCCTAATCCAGCTGTTTGCCTTCTCCTACTTCCCCGTGTTAGGCGCCGCTGGGCACTGGCGTTCGCTGGATCGATATCTACGCTTTCCTAATCGCTGTCGCGGACGGACGCTCGAAGCGCTGGTGGACGCTGCCGCAAAGTATGGATGCAATTTTATTGTTAGAGAGGAGAGCAGCAATAGGAACACTCAGTCGTCGTCGGAAGGCGCTTCTTGAACTGTTATATGGACTGCATAAAACTCGAAAGTAACCATATTGGTTAGCTGCTATGCGATGATGGACTGTTCCAATATAACCGCGCCCGATTTGCATATTGCATATTAGCAGCGATCCTTCAAGAGCAATTCAACGAAAAACTATCGGGTGAGCGATAGTTTTTCGTTGAATTCCAGCGATCCATTTCTGCTTTGATGAGAAGCTATGGGTACACTGTACTATTTTATAAAAGTCTTTTCTCCAGTTGGAAGTGAAATTCTTACCTATGATCTTCCTCAAGTTCACACGCCTATAATAGCTTCTAGGCATCTTCCCAATGATGGTCATTTCCCGATCGAGAGCTTCCTTGTACTCATTGAGCTGCTTTTCAAACTGTTCCATTGCCTTGGCTGCTACCTGCAACGAACTGTAGTATTTAACAAATTGAATAACAAGTGGAAAAAGAGTCGGGCTCGCTGATTTCAGAGGGTGTAGATTAGAGTCTCGCTGGCGTGTATAATGGGCAGCCAAAAATGTCTTGGTAGCATCCCACAAGTCTGAGTTCATACTTTGCGGCAGCATTCGCTAGCATTTGGAGCGTCCAAGCCTCAGCGACTGCGAAATTATAGATATCAATCTAGGGCCACTCAGCGTTCGCCAGCGTCTACCAACGCCTTGAGGATCTGGGAGGTATGGGAATCGATGTAGCGTCTACCAACGTGGTGCCAGCGTGAACCAGCGTCTCCCAGCGTCCGGAGAGGCGAGTATGGGAGGGTACCAGCTATGTGCTACCCTTCTGCCGCGACATACTCTTTTCTCCCGGAAGCTGGGAAGTGCTGGTGCACGCCGGCACACGCTGTAGACGCTGGCGAACGCTGGGAGACTCGTTCATATACTAGACCGATATCTGTGCTTTTCCAGTCGCTCGAGACGCTAGTGGAGCTGCCACAGAGTATGAACGCAGTCCAGCAACGATTCGGTACGCGATCATAGTATCAGTGCACAGGGTACGGCCTCACGATGTGTGGGCGGTGGTGTTAGTACGAACATGCTTCCCCACTTCCCCTAAGGTGGGTCTTTGTACGACCAACTTCGCCTTCAGCGGAAAGGATCAGATCAGATGCGAAGCGAGCGCTCGCGGTCGTTGTCACTTTGCGATCCCAATACAAAAAGGCGCTGGAGCACATTTGTCAACCGACTAGAAACCGCAGTGCTTTCCTGGAGGTTATAACCTTTCCAGACCTGGAACATTCATGAAAGTGAGGGCGTCATATCAAAGCATGGCTCCTTTCTTGCTTTCTCGACAAAGTAATCTGAATCACCCCTGTTTGAGAAATAATTTCGATAGGCCCAAGACGGATTACAAATCGCACGCCAGTTTATAGTCGAGCGCTATAGCTTTTCATATGCAATATTTTGCGAAACCAAAATAATGCCTACGAAGTGCAATAGTCCATGTCTCCGGAAAGTTTTTCTCCAGTTTTTCTGAAAAACTCTTAGTTAAGAAAACATTTTGGATGGCCTTCATGTGAGCGAATTCTGAACCATTCCAAGGCTCGATTTTTGGGCCACTGTGAGGATTTTCACTCGGAACTCTTAAAATGCCTTCGAAACAATTATATCCGTCGCTTACGGTTTCAGTTCGGCTCACAAAACTTAGCAATGACGCTTCTGCGATGTTCGAAACACCCAGGTATCTCCAACGTTCAGCCCTCTCAAGGCATTCCAAAGCGGCACTATCGAAATGCGGACCCATATAGCTAGTACATGAAGAGGACCTTCCTCTGAGGTGAATGTAGGGATGGCAATGAGAGAAAGCATGGCAGTCTCAGCGCAGGTGCTGAAATGCCTTTTCATGTAGTACGAAAACAATCGAAACGAAAAAAGTTACTGGAAGAAATCACAAGAAAATACATCACCCAAGCTTCCGCCCGGACTGATCCATCATCCGGCTGGTTCTCATATTTACGCGACGATCTTTTTTCCACGTAATTGTAAATTAGCTTGTCCACCATATGCAGCTTAAATGAGAGTATATACCACCGATTGAAAAAATACTTTTCGTTGATGCCAGTTTTGAAGACACGGCTGACAAAACTTACATCAATATCCAACTTCCTCAGCTCTCCAAGATGGCGGATCAAAAACTCTCGGTATAGCACATTGCCCCGAACACGCTTCAGAAACTCGGGTCTGATGGGTGGAAAAGGGCGATTAACCCTTTCAATCCATTTCTCCAAAAAATCCCTTTGAGGTTTTTCCAGAAGGCTCGTGTCCATTGCAAGTTTCTAACGGACCTGAAAAGTGCTTGCTGGTGCTGTAAATCAATCACTTGTTTTGAAGGGATACGTGTCGAAAGAATTCAATTGAGTATTGGTAGACACAGGGGCGGGCTACCCCTGAACGATTCACATCATCGGAGTCAAGCACACTTTAGGCATCCAAACAAAGCGCAGTAGGGCAAAAATCAATAGTCGCGCGCGGCAGACGAGCAGCAGACTATTGTGGAACTCAACACACTCTCGTCAAATTGCTGTAGGGTGAGCTATGTTCTAGCAGAACAATACAATGCTAGTCCTCTCATGGTTACCGCTTACTGGATTCCTTACTGTCCTGGTCACTTCGGTTTGGTCCCAGGCTAGCACAACCAGAATAATCCCCTAATAGCGCTGACTGGGATGGCGCGGTGGCGCGTAGGAAAGATAAGCCACTAAGTGTAGGACCGGAATTTTTCGAAAAACTACAGTAGCAAGCTTGCGCGCAGACCGAGGCTACGTATCTCGGCATGGCTATGTTCAGAAATTTTCAAACTGGCCTAATTCGCGTGCGCGCCTCTCGAATAGGTGGTTGATAACGTTCTTGGATAGGTGAAGAGAAGTTATCCACGTTGAACAAAACTTTGTGAGGTAGCATGCTGATATATAGGCGAAGGCAGATGTCGAGCACGGAGGACCAGCTGAGGGTTAGTGACATTAGAAGGTTTAAGGCTTAAACGATAATGCGAGTGGTTAGGAATAGGGCCGGAATAGCTCGAGGACCATCTAAAACTGGTCGATCAATTTTGGTGATCTGCTCATGCAGGTGGAGCCGTTGAGCTAGGAAATAGCCGGTACGTGGCGGGGCCCGGTGCGCTCAGCGGCGTTGAGGCTGTTGGAGGTGGTCGGCGGGTGGTGCAGGGTATGGGAGGGTCTAGGATGATTTAGACGCACCGTGGAAAGAGAATCAGGGGCGAATGGGAAATGGCGGGGGTAAAATAACTTTGCATATTGTGAACTGGGGTTCTACAGCAATCTCGGGCCGAAAGTCACACCGGTCGTTTAGGCGACCTTGTGGGCAAGGTCAGAGTGAAGACAGAGGCTCGGCAATGGAGGGACGGCGTCGACCCGGGTGGGTGCGAGAAGCAGCGAATAGTGGCGAGCGGGGTACGCGTGCGCGGGCGACGTCGAAAGCCTGGCGGCTGCTATACCGGGCGATTTTTATCACTTGCGAAAAAAAGTTGAAACAAACCAAAACAAACAACGCGTATAGCGCCTAAATGGCGCCAGCGCCAGATTGAATGCATATTCCGTATCAGTAGATCAGGAATAAACATCTGGGACAATGATCCACGAACAGAGTGAAAAGATTTGAGGGTTGTGTAAAAGAAGTCAGTTCAGGATGCGGCGGGCTTACGTTGTATCACGAGAAATCCAAAGCAGAAACCGCAAACATGAACAGCGGGGGGGCCGGGGCGATGGCATATCTCTATTCCGGCCTCATTCCGCGTGCTTGAAAATACCAATCCGTCCCCTCCAAGTTGATCGTAGAATCCTTCCAAAGTTCTATCCAGACAAGTAGGACAAAAGGTAAAGAAGGCCACTACTGAACCGGGGGCGCAACCACTAATACAGAAAGAGACCTGCCAGAGATCGGATTCAGTTAGGTGTTGTTTTTTACGGGAGAGGGCAATACTCGCCGCGGTTTTCACGAGTATTGGTGGGTCAGAATCGTAAAGAATCGAAGCGCATGGTAAATGTAGGCCACTGGAAGGTCAGGCAATGGCAACACAGTAGTACGGTAGCTGTGTGCCCGGCAACGAAGCATAAGTACTGTGTAGTTTTTGCGGAATCATTCCGCGTCCTACACTTGAGTGGCGGATCGTAGGAAGTCCAGCCCTGGCCGCCTCTCGCCCTCTGGTCGGTCGAGAAGCGAAGGGACCTTCCGCCAGTAAGGCGCCCACTAGAGCAGGTGGCTTCGCTCACCCTGCCCCTGAAGCGTTTAAACTTTAAGACTTCATGGAGTACAATGGGTATATGGCTTTTTTCGTTTCCTTTTGAGTGATAGAAAAAATTGGCTTGAGATATTAGGAAACGATGATAAGGACTACAAGCTCTACAAAAACTAGTCGAATGATAGGGCGAGGCCCATTTCGTGCAGTGTAGTAGCCGAACGGTAGGAGGGCATTTTCTGATGGAGGTAAAAATGCAGAAATAAGTGTTTATTATGAAAAATGCCACGATGAGAGGAAGTTCCTATAGAAAGATTTCAATGTGTATATATAATGGGAACTTAATTAAGAAGCGAAGAAGTGACGAAAAAGGTGGAGGAAAGAGTCCCCAGTCATCATATAGAATTCGGAAAAAAACACTCAAAACATGTGGGAAGCCTACCTTAAATCATAAGTGAATTAAAGGGCGCAGTTTACCGGCAGGGAAGTGAGGCGCAACCGCGGAAAATAAGCGGCTACCGTATCTCTCGAAACGGGAATGGATGGAGGCAACGCGCGTGGTATGCAATTGGTTCGCGTTTCTTTGCTTCAGGTCAACCATAACAGCTAGTAAAGTAACAGATAGAAAATGAGAATGTGAGGTAGACCCAAAATGTCGAACTACAGAAAAAGAATACCTAGAAGAAAACCGAGAGGTAAGTTCTAGCAAAGCGAACAGCCGTCTTGAACAGTCTTCGTAACAACCTGGCAACCATCTTGACACGTCTTTGCGTCATCGCCGTAACACTCAAGTGCTCATTTAACAACCCGAGTAAAAATGGATGAGCTAGCATAGATGAACCGTAGACCTGCCACGTTCAATCCACGTCGTTAAGCTGTAATGTAAATGTATGCAGATTTTACAGCGAGCAGAAAATCCACTGACACAATAAGCATACCTAGCAAATAGGCTGAATTAGTACAACAGTGACAAGTTCACTGGAAATATGCTAGAAATGAGCTAAAGAATACAACAAAAATGAAATGTTGGGTGTATGACAGGACTCACCATCGCGCTCGAAACTAGGTCACCGCGCGCGGCGACCTGTTCACAGGCGCGGCGGTGAGTCCTGACCTGGCATTTTGCCAAGCTTCCGATCAATATGACCCTATCGCACGTTTTTTGAGAGCGTTATTTGTTTTCTTCATATTTCATCTGCCAAGAACATATTCAATCATGTAATCGCTGCGCTCGGTGACCTACTTTCTAGCGCGGCGATCTACTTTCAGCACGGCGGTGACTCCTGGCCGCCTCCCCCACAAACGCCGCTCTCAAAATCTCAGATCGGACGGCTTGTTATTGCTTTCCGTTGGGCTGCGTCATACTTGCGCAGCGTTCACAGCAGCGACCAATACGTCCACACCAGCGTTTCCAAGCGTTCCTCAAGCTAACTTAGCAACAGCTATCGGATGTCGACTCGTCCTGCCAGCATCCACCAGCTACCAGCAGCGTCTCGAGGGCTAGAAAAGTAGAGGTATTGGCCTAGCGTGTGCGAGCATCGGTCTAGTGTCTACCGCGTCTGGGTGTAGGCAGTATGGGATGATGGAAGGGTAGCAAACAGCTGGTAGAGTAGGGGAAGATAGGAGTGTAGCAGACAGTTGTTACCCTCCTGTCGTACCATACTATCTACCAGTGGTCTGCTGCTGATCGCTGGTAGACGCTGGCAGACGCTAGTTCGATGTTCATGCTTCCCAAGTCGCTGGCGCTGACGAGCGTTCGAGAGGCTGGTGGACGCTATTGGTTGCGTGTAGACGCTGCCACAAAGTATGAACGCAGCCTTACACGTTTGACATGGTGAACCGCCCTTTCGTATCGCTAGATGCTGATGCTGCGAAGCTGAAGTCTTTACAAGTTTTCGGAGCTCTTCTGTTATTATAACCGCCGTTTGCAAGCCTACGCGCGCGCGGTCAAATCTGCGCCCGTTGCTCACAAGGGAAAGATAGTAGGTCGAAGTGGCCATATGAAATGGAATGTATATCGTCTGGAAGCTTTCAGGACGGGGATTACGAAACCTTCTTCAATATCTGCAGAGCAAACAGCACGAGCCTTTTTGGGGGAAGCATACTGGCATTCAGTACGAATTGGAGATGTAAGGCTGGGCGTTCTAAGCGGTTGAGTGACATCTTGAACTTTTGTGCATGGTCCTGTTACGAAACCCTGTGACGCAGACGGATAGAGGGCAGCGGCTGCCAAAGCATCGAAACGTGCAAAAAACGTATGGCGAGCCAGGAAACGGGATTTTTCAAGGGGAGGGGACTCCGGGGTGGGTGAGCTACTTACAGTCGGAAAAGCTGGAGTGAGCGAAGTCACAACGGCCATAGAGTGCCATGCGGACGAGAGAGTGCAGAGAAAAAGAGAAGATCGACGCATTAAAAGGGATTGGGTTTAAGTTGTCCGTAGACCGTTCTCCGTTCTAATCAGGGTGGCCAAGTAGATACGTGGTAGATTCTGCGAACAATTGGTCTAGACTTTGTGTCCTTGATGCGTATTCCTTTTTGCATTTTTTCGACAGTGGTCTCTGTGCACTCGAAAGCATTTTTGCATAATTCTTGTGCTTGGAAATGTCGTCAAAAGATGTTTCTGAATTAGAAGAACTGTTGTAGACGATTTCATGGCGAACATTCCTGGCTGTTGAACTTGCCACCGAGTCGAAGACTTCAGCATGTGCGAAAGCACCACTTTGGGACAGAACATCTTTTAAACTATGTGAGTTATGAAGAACTTGCCCGTAAAGATTTCTGCCAAGAGTTTCACGTCAGAGCTACGTCGTAAGTATACTCATCTTCGCGCACAACTTCTTGTAGTTTCGGGTCCATCCATGTCTTTTGGAGAATGAAACCATCTTCCAAGGCGAGCTCATTTGCTAGTGTGCATTCTTATTGTGAGAAATGAGCTCGTTGAAGCAGTAAAAGAAGAAATCGGCACTTAAAAATGTTCTCCATGGAATCATACACAGTGGCTTCACCAGTCCAGATACACACCTCATTTCAGATGGTCACTTCGACCTACCATCCTTCCCTTGGCAGCATTCT